TATGTTGTTTAGGAATGTAGACATATGAAGTAAAACTTTCAAAACAGCAGGAGAATAAACACAAAATTCAGGGTAGTGTCTTCTAGGGCAGTAAACGGGCTAGGGCTAGGCTGGAGTGTGATAGGAATGTTCAAGGCCACAACACTACTCTTTTCCTTAAAGTGGGTATTGAGGCACAGATATTAATTGTATCATATTTATATATTTTGAGAAACAATGGTGGAACAATGGATTAAACTTTGAGCTGCTGTTCAAACCTACCAGCCACTCTGCAGGGAAAAGGTGAAGCAGTTAGATTCTGAAAAGATTTCTGTCCAAGGAAATCCTGCAGAGCAGTTCGAGTCTGTCCTCTAGGGACACTCTGAGTCAGAATGAACTCAAAGGCACTGGGTTTTTACTGCAACAAGTATCAGCATAATATTTTTAAACAATTGATTACAAAATAAAATGGGAATAAATGATAGGCTAGCTTATTTCTCAACAATTGAACATTCCAATAACCAGAAGCATCATTGCCCCTCTTATCCTAAAGGTTGTATGCTCTCACCATACTTATTCAATTTGTATGCTGAACAAATGATCTGAGAACGTGGATTCTATGAAGAAGAATATAATCAGCATTGAAGGAAGACTCATCAACAATATGTAATATGCCAGAAGACACAAACTTGCTTGATGGAAGCAAAGAGAACTTGAATTAGTCACTAAAGATCAAAGAATATAGACTTCAGTATGGAATGTACTTCAATGTAAAGAAAACAGAAATCCTCACAACTGGCACAATATATAAAAGCATGATTAACAGAGAAAATAATAAAATTGTCAAAGATACAATTTTACTTGGATACAATCAACATTCTTGAAAGCAGCAGTCAAGAAATCAAATGACCTATTTCTCTAAACAATACTGCTGCAAAAGATGTTAAAGAGTAAAGATTTCACATTGAGGACTAAGGTTCCTCTGACCCAAGCCATGGAATTTTCAATTATCTCGTATGTATGGGAAAGATAGACAATGAATGGGGAAGATCATAGAAGAATCCATGCATTTGAGTTATGGTGTTAGCAAAGAATATTGATAATACCATGGACTGCCAAAAGAACAAATAAATCTGTGTTGGAAGAAGTGCATACAGAATGCTCCTTTGAAGCGAGGATTTCAAGACTTCATCTCAGGTACTTTGGGCATGCTATCAGGAGCAACCTATCCCTGGAAAAGAACAGCATGTTTAACAAAGTAGAAGGTCGGCAAAAAAGAGGAAGACACACAAAGATATGGTTGGCACAGTGGCTACAATAATGGACTCAGACATGGCAACAATTGTGAGGTTAGTGTAGAATGGGAGAGTGTTTCCTTCTATTGTGTATAGGGTCACTATGAATCAGAACGGCACTAGGACTCCATGGCACCTAACAACAGCAACGACACTCTAAGTAAACTAGCACAACATATAACAATGCTATTCTATTAACTTGAATAACTGTTTTTGTAAAGCTAATGCCAGTATTCCTTACAAAACAATTTGCAAGGGACTGAAAACATAAATTTCTTAGTATTTATTTATTTAAATGCATTTGTTTTACAGAAATCGTGCAGTTTCAGGGAGCACAAGGAGTGAATAGCAGTCCTTTGAAAATCTCTCCCTTTAATCTCCCCATCACAGTTCAGGAGTTACTATCTCAACTCGAATCTTAGTGTCTATGCAATAAGTTTCCACTTTGAATGACCACATCATAGTTTCTGTTTCTAGGAGCTATGGATAAAATAAAATGTTGTTATTGTTAAGTGTTGTTGAGTCAATTACAGCTCATAGCTACCATGTAGAGTGTTTCTGCGGAGAAGCTGGTGGATATGAACTGCCGACCTCGTGACTTGCAGTCCAGTGCAGATCCTACAGTTCCACAGCAAGAGTCCATAAAACAAATCACATAAGAGAAATTAAAAACAAAGACTGGTTATTCTATAAATTTGAGGAAGACCAAAATGAGACAGTGGCTGGAGACTGCAATGGTATTGTAAATAGTGTGAAGGTAAACACAGAAGACTTAAATGAAATTAGAATCCACATGAAATCTAGGCTAATATATCTGTCCTAGATCTTGGTTGAGAACAATGTCTCAAGAAATGCTGTTACTATAGCTCATTGCTGTTGAAAACATCCTATGAACATCTTCGATATTCTTGTTTTTATCCTACCTCTCTGGTCTTAGTCCTTGTTTCTCTCTCTTTGCCCCCTGCCTTGTGGTTTAAATATTCTGCAAGATGGTATACCTGGTGTAGGATTTCCATTAGAGACAGTTTCATTCAAATATTTTTACTAAATGGAAAAAAAACTTGTGGGTATCAAGTCAAAATTTTCTTGGCTGTAATCTTTATGGGCAGAAATTGTCCTACCTTTCTTGCACAGTGAAACTCAGTGGATTCGAACTGCCAATGTTTAGGTTATTAGTCTAGTGCAAACCACTTGCACCACTTGGGACCTTTATCTCTTTACATTGCCCTCTAAATTACACAGCACAGAAAGCTCTCATTCCATTATCAAGTCAAATTTGAGCCTGGCATTCAAGACTCCTGCCTAGGTGAAAAGAGACCTCAGTTGCTACTTAGAGAAAAGGCAACTTCTGAATCTCTCAAAACTTCTGGGAGAAGCATAGAAGTTAATTTGCTTAAGGAAATTGACATAGAGTCCTTTTATCCATGAAATTTCTTCAATCCAGTAGCAAAAAGAGGGATAAAGGAGGAGCCCTGGATAGCATCAGGTCAAGTGAATTTTATTTTTTACACAGGGACAATGACTCATAGATGACAAATAATTGAGTGATACCTGCCTAATGAAGGAGCTCCGGTAGCGTAGTGGTTATGAATTGGGCTGATAGCCTCAAGGTCAGTAGCCAGCTGTTCCGTGGGTGCAAGATGAGGATTTCTGCTCCCTTAAAGATTCAGCCTTGGAAACCTTGTACAGGGTCGCTATGAGTTGGAACCTAACTCCATGGCATACCACACCACCTGCCTAAGGAATTATCTTTCAAACCCTAAAACAAAAGATTGAAAAATGTGTTGCTTCTTCTTGGAAAACACTTCTCAGTCACTCTTCATTGGAGAGGGGGGAAAAGAATAACCTTGAACACCTCTTTTATGAGGTCCCTTCCTTGTCCCAACAAAGTGTACTCCATTATCTCCAGCTTTATTTCATATCTGGATTGTAGTATGTATCACTAGTGTTCTAGTTAGGCATACAAATATTTCTGTTTATTTTCTCCAGCAGATTTTGACTTCACTAGTCTTCATCTCTGCATTTCCAAAACCTAGGACAGTGTTTTTGATCAAGTGACATCTAACTGAAAATGAAAATGAATTTAATTCTACCTTTCACTTCCACAAATTGTTCTATTTTCATCACCTGAACAACACTGTGTTGTTAGTTCCTGTCCAGTCAATTTCAACTCATGGCAAACAGATGTGTGCAGAGTACAACTGCTTGATAGGCTTTTCAAGACTGCAGCCTTTCTGAAGTAGATCATCAGAATTTTCTTCCAACTCCTCTTTGGTTGAGTTTGAGCTGCCAAGTTTTCCAGTTGGTGGTCTGTCTATTAACCATTTGTGTACCCAGGTACTCTTATCTGAACAACTGCAACTAGGAAATTGTGTAATGAGAAGAATTCTTTAGAGGGCGTTCAGAGAAGCTTGGGAAAGGTTTGAGATACAGCAAATTTTAAATGCTGTGATACAAATTTCAGTTTCTCTTTAGAATCTTTAAAAACAAGAGAAAATAGTGGTGAGAGGGTTTGGGGAACACATGAGAAATTACTAGACAAAAGTTTGTCTCCCCTGCAAGAGCATGTGTTGGATAACTTTCTTGACTGCTCATTAATTCTAAGAAGAGCAGAGACTAAGAGAAAACAAACCCAAACTTTGCTATTCTTCCATCTCCTCTTCTTCCATCCCCCTCTTCCAAGTGTTCTTCCATCCCTACTTTACTGTGGAAGCAAACTTTAGAGCAACTATAATCCCTCAATGTGACCAGGACCTTCAATGAAATCCACCATGAAAACAGTAGCTCACTGTATTTGAAATGATTATGGAATACATCATTAAGATAAAGCATTCAAAGATCTATGTTTAAGGTACATATATTGAATGCATGCTGTTTGTTTTTTAAATTCTTAACATAGTTCAAGTAAAGTATTAAGACATGTGGGAAGGGAGGCCAATGTCAAACCCTTAGTAAACAGAGAAGCCAAAGATAAAACAATAGTGGCTTGGATGCAACATTGCCCCTGGTTGCACCGAGCCATGCAAAGACAAGTCCAGATTGTCTAACACTGAATCTCTCTTCTCCACCTTCTTGTTAGCACACTGTCTTTTCACAGCTGCTGTGGGTTTACAGGTCAAAGCCCAGCAGTCAGGGTTTTTAGATTGTGCAGTCTGGCAGAACTTCTGCTTTACATACAAGAGACCTGCCTCAGATAGCAGTCAGAAGTCTTTCCCCGTTATATAACACATTGATGGTCCAGCCAGAAGTCACAGGATGGTGCTGGAAGCCATGAGAATGTATCTCTCTCATTTAAAAAACAACTTCTAGACCACCAAATGAGGGTTTATGAAATGCAGGCATTTGAGGAGATAACCACTACAAATAAGTTGAAAAGCTTTAAGGTGAAATAAAAAGGAACAAGAGGGGATGTAGGAAGTTGAATAAAATAAAGATCAAGAAACATAAAGTACAAGTTGTTTACTGGGAAGAGCTCCTTCTATCCATGATCAGCATTATGATGTACTCAAGAGAGGACAGGTCTAGAGTCAGAAAATCAGCTCTCAAGTCCTCATTCTACTATTTGCTCCTTATATGATCTTGTACAAGTCACTTTTAATCTTTGAGTCTTACTCCCCACATTATAAAGTCTGTGCTCTCAAATTTAAAAAAAAAAAAAATGTGAGAATGTCATTAAATGCTTATAAACTATAAATTATGACTAAAGAGCTATCTATTGATCTCTCTCTACAGCGGCTCAGGAAGGAAGCCCAACTGATGTAGAACCTTTCTTAGAGATGATTTGACCTCTTTATTCCGGAGACTGTAGATCAAGGGGTTCAGCATAGGAGTGACCAGGTTGTTCAAGACTTGAACAGTTGCATTAAGCCAGGGCTTGGGGGTGGGCTGCAGATAGATGACTGCTATCGGCATGTAGGAAAGAAGGATGGCAGTGAGATGAGCGCTGCAGGTAGAGAAGGCACGGCGGCGACCCTCCGCAGAGCGGATCTGCAAGATGGAGTAGACAATGCGACTGTAGGAGGTGAGAATGAGAAGGAAGCAGCTGAAGGGCATGAGACCAACACTGATCAACCCCACCATCTCCAACACTGAAGTGTCTGCACAGGCCAGCTTCAGCATCACTGGGATATCACAAAAGTAATAGTCCACCTCATTGGGACCACAGTATGGCAACTGGAAAGTGAGAGTGGTTAGAAAGATGGCCTGAATACAGCCAAAATATGAGGTTCCTGAGGCTAGGATGGCACACACCCTATGGCTCATGATGACTGTGTAGCGCAGAGGGTAGCATATGGCCACAAAGCGGTCATAGGCCATCACAGTGAACAGGAAGCATTCAGTGCAGCCCAGGAAGTGGTAAAAGAAGAGCTGGGACACACAGCCTGTGTAGGAGATAGCTCGGCTATTCCCTGAGAGGTAGAACAGCATCTTGGGGGAGCTCACTGAAGGGAAAAAGATGTCAAAAATTGATAGCTTGCACAAAAAGAAGTACATGGGAGTGTGAAGCCGAGTAGAGGAGACAATTGCAAGTATGATGAGCAGGTTCCCAATCAGTGTGAAGACGTAGAAGGACAAAAACAGGACAAAGAGCATGGTCTCCAGACCCTCTGTGTGTGGGATGCCCAGCAGGATAAATTCAGTCACCACCGAGCGATTCTTCATTGCTTAACACGTAACAACAAGGCTTTTTATGGAGGGTGAGATCTATTAAAGGGATAAAGTAATAAAAAATGTCAGACTGATTCAGATCTTTCCAAATCCTAAAAGGAACATTTTGTAGAGGTGAATTGTTGTCCCCTATGACAACATCAGAAGTTTAGAGGCATATTCAAAACATTCTCATGGTAAATTAGAAACCTTTTTACTGTAGCTTAATTCAGGGATTTTCTATTTGGAGTAATTCTGTTTGAACTCTTATCTCTTTGAGCAATAAACTCTGACTATTCATGACTCTCTGCAAAATATCAGGGGAAAAAATATATTAGAAATTAGAACACTTCATTTTGTTCCTGGCTTTGCCATTTCTTAGATACATGAGTTAGAGCAATTTGTATACCATCTTTCATAGGCATATTTTTATCATTTACAATAGAAACTCACATTATTATAATAACAACAGCCATGACAAAAATAATTTCCTAAAATCATGGCAAATTTATGAAATGTCTGTAATGTGAATATGGCAAAATGATAATCATTATGAAAAGCATGCATTCAATGTATGTACCTTAAACATAGATCTTTGAATGCTTTATCTTAATGATGTATTCCATAATTATTTTCAAGTATTGTATTAAATAACATTATTGAGTGGATTTAGATAACATCCTTTTCGTACTGTATCTTCCAGAGTAGAGAATTGAAGATTCCCAAATCTACCAGGAGATGCTGTTATGGTACTTCTGATCCTTTTTATATTTTCTAAGTGAACTTGAGACAACTCTGAAATATTAAGAGGAAAAGAAAAAACAAAACACTAACATTTCACTATGCTCAAGTTTGAAGTATAGTGACCAACAGAGAAGATGGAGGTGGTTGGAGGGGGGATTAATAAGATAGGTAACAAAAGTCAAGAGCAAAATGACACCTGGAAAACCCATGGATCTCTTCCTCTTGTTGTTGTAAAGGGCAGTCAAGTCAGTTCCAACTCATAGTGATCCTCTATATCGTTTCCAAGGAGCAACTGGTGATAATGAACCTCATGCTATAACTGTTAAATGTTGTTGAGTCAGTTCTGACTTATAGTGACCCTGTATAGGGTTGCCAAGGGGTAACTGGTAGGTTTGAACCACTGATCTTTCTGTTAACAGTCCAGTGTTTATTCTACAACACCACACCAGGACTCCAATAAATCACATTGTTGTTGTTGTTAGGTACCGTGGAGTAGGTTCCGACTCATAGTGACCCTGCACAGGGTTTCCGAGGACGTAAATCTTTATGGGAGCAGAACGCCTCATCTTTCTCCCATGGAACCGCTGGTAGTTTCGAACTGCTGACCTTGAGATTGGCAGCCCGACTCGTAACCACTACACTACAGAGCTCCTTATGAATCACATACTATTTGTCATTTATTTTCTTTAGGGAGGGACTGACCCAGTCCTTGGAACTCAGTACTTTTGAAATACGACTTATCTTTTAAACAAATCAATGAGGAGATACTATTATTAGTATTCCCCCCCTTTTTTTTTGATCACGAGATGAAGTGTAGAGAGACTCAGTAAAATGCTCAAAGTGACAAATCTGCTTTATTTCATTGGTGCTACCTTTTGTTGTGGTTATTTTTAAGTGCCATTGATCAGTTTTGACTCATAGCAACCCTGTATAACGTTCCCAAGGAATGGCTGGTGAGTTTGAACCACTGACTATGTGGGTCAAACTAACATTGTGGTCCAGTGCTTTATTCCACAGAACCACACAAGGACTCCATAGTCCTACCTTTACTCATTATGAAAAACTGACCTCTGATTACCTCTTTCTAAGACACTCTGCTCTACTGCAAAGTAATGAACTAAAGAAGGTGTTCTTCTAGACAGGTTTACATCATTGTTTTACAGCAAAGAGAGATACAGTTACCATCTGGAGCAGGAAGTGGATAGGGGGATGGAGCAGGGAGATGTTGCTACCAACCTGCTCACTGTTACTAATTCTAGTCAAAACCTGAATTGTCACTCTGAGCAACTCAAATCTGTGATCTGTGGATCTCTTTCACTAGTTTAGAACAGATATAAGAGTTCTGATGTCCTTTTTTGTGACCAGGTATAATGTTTTTCAATGATTCTAAAATCCTGTTTGATATTTAACTCAATTCCAGAATACAGATGCCTCCAAGGAGTCCCCAAATTAGTATGTAAGGTGTAAAGCTGACAGAGAGACATAGATAGAAGTTTGAACACTCACCTAGTACACCTGAAAACATTCTTATATTTTTTGTAGATGTTATAACTGGACCTCACACTTAGTTTTCCCGAGAAGAGCACAGAGTGCTCCATCCAAGAGCTTCAGCTCATCTACTTATAAAGAATTGAGTCTCATAGGATTTGTACAATTGAGATTTGAACATATTCAGTTTCCACGGATTGCTTTCTGAGAACCTTCTTCAAATCCCTTTATGTCCTAATTGGGACTCAGTGCCAGCTCAAAGGGAGCAATTAGTTTGACTCAATCTTATTCATCATCCAACTAGAAAGTAATAGTAATGAGGTCATTGAAAATGAATGTTCTAGAGTGGTAGATACTTATGTTTCTCCAAGACTGCTTGTGGGATAGAATAGGATACAATTCTGACTCTACTACTACGGGAATACAGTATCTTTGGCTCTCTTTTAGACCTTCAAGTCATTGTTCATGATATCATTGAACTCATTGTTTTGTAAATTACTTATACATTCCTGTGACTATATAGTAATCTCAGATAAATATTAAACCTTAAATTAACTACATCATTGGAAAGAGACAATGGAGAAAGTCTATTATCATCAAGCTGAACAAATCAGGGTTAACTTCAAAACAGACCTTCAATGAAGGTCTTTAATTTTCTGGAAAAAAATAAAACAAGTCCATGAGAGCCAAAATATAATTTTGAGCATATTCCACCTGAACTTGAGATGATATAAAGAATAGATTTGATGCAATGAACACTAATGACTAAGTGCCAGACAAGTGAAGGAAATCAAAGATATACTTGAAGAAACCAAAAGGCCATTAAAAGAACAAGAAAGAAAGAAAAAACAAAATAGATGTCAGAAGAGACTCTGGAACTTACTCTTGAACACAAATAGCTAAAACAAAGGATAAAATGATGAAGTAAAAGAACTGGACAGAAGATTTACATGGTCAGTTAAATAGACAAAGTATTATATATTTTTTTAAATGTGCAAAGATCTAGAGTTAAAAACTAAGAACATACTTGGCATTTTTCAAGTTGAAAAAAACTGAAGAAAATATTCAAACTTAGAGTTGCAATACTGAAAGTTTCTGTGGACAAAATATTGAACAACACAGTAGCATCATGAAAAGATTGAAGGTATACAACACAGTCACTATTTAAAAAACAACACACACACAAAAAAAGGTTGATGTTCAGCCATTTTAAGAGGTAATATAGGATCAAGAGAAGTTCTGGTGTGGTGCTGTGGGTTAATGCGCCAGACTGCAAAGCTGTTTGAACTACAAAGTCGCTGGTTCAAGCTCACCAGTCGCTCCTTGGAAACCCTATGCAGATTCGCTATGGGTCGGAGTCCACTAGATGGTACTTAACAACAACATTGGATCAAAAACTTAATAGCATCAAAGGAAGAAGTCCAAATTTCACTGTAGGCTTGGTCAAAAATAGGGATCCAAGAATGAATGGAACACCAATTGAAATGCTTTAGCAAACAAATGCAGTACTGGAGGTGCTCACACACCTGTGCTAATTAATTTGGAAGGTCGATGCCTACCCAACCAACTGGAAGAGATCCATATTCATGCCCATTCCTATGTAAGGAGATCTAACACAATGCACAAATTATCAAACAATATCAGTAATGTCATCCACACAGAAAACTTTAAAAAGGTGATTAAAAAATGATGCAGCACTACAGGGTCGCTATGGGTCGGAACCGACTTGACGGCACTTAACAACAACAACTACATCAATAGGGAACTACCAGAAATTCAAGCCAATTTCAGAAGCAGACATAGAATGAAGGATATCATTGTTGATGTGAGATGGGTCATTCCTGAAAGTAGAGACTAGAAGAAAGATGTTTTACTTGTGTTTTGACTGTATGAAGTCCTTCAGTTATGTGTATCATAACAAATTACAGATAGTAAGGTGAAGAATGGGAATCCCAGAATACTTTATTGTGCTCAGGTGAAACATGTGTGAAGACCAAAAAGCAGTCAGTTGTGCAAACATGACAAGGAGATACTGCATGGTATAAAACCAGGAAAGGTGTGTCAGGGTTGAATCCTTTCACCATATTTATTCAATCTGTACGTTGGTTAAGCAATCTGAAAATCTGTACTGACTATGTTAAGAAGAATGAGACATCAAGACTGTAAAAAGAAAGCAACCTAAATATGCAGATATACAACCTTGCCTTCTGAAATCGAAGATTTTAAACACTTACTGATGAAGATGAAAGAATAAAGCCTTTAGTGTGGATTACATCTTAATACAAAGAAAATACAGATCCTCACAAGAGGACCAATAATCAACAGCATGTTAAGTGGAGAATATATTAAAGTTGTCAAAGAAATCATTTTGCTTGGATCCACAATTAATACCCATGGAGACAGTCAAGAAATCAAGTGATGTACTTAATTGGGTAAACATGCTGCAAAAAAAATATCTTGAAAGTGTTAAAAAGCAAAAATGTCACTTTGAAGATTAAGGTGCACCTGACCCAAGATAAGTTATTTTCAGTTGCCTCCTATGCATGGGAAAACTGGACAAGAAATAAGGAAGAACAAAGAAGAATCAATTCCTGTGAAGTAGTGTTAGTCTTGGAGGATTAAAGTATCTCTTGGGAGGTTTTAGTGTTTTTATAACTACAATTTTTATAACAGTTAATATTTACATGTGTTATCTATTTCATTAGTCACCAGAAATCTACCAGGAATTATTGTTCCCCTCAGTTTTCATAGAAAATTTAGTCTCAGAGCATCTAAGCAATTTA